GGAGGTGCTGGTGTTGGACTGGGTTGGACAAGGTCGGAAATCACACGACACCACGTTATGGTTCACAGGTTTATTTGAAAACACAAGCTTTTGGAGCTTCGCTCCTTCTTTAGGTTTTAGTAAGGGAGGATAGTATCAGACCCAGAATTTATAAGTAAAAGATCAAAGGTTCATACCACTGATGAGGATGTATTAAACAAACCTAAGATGGTGTTAACAAGGTGCAGGGCTGGATGAACACAGCAGGCCAAGCAGCATCATAGGAGCAGAGAGGCTGACGTTTCGGGCCCAGACCCTTCATCAGAAAAGGGGGAGGGGAAGGGGGTTTTGAAATAAATAGGGAGAGAGGGGGAGGCGGATAGAAGATGGATAGAGGAGAAGATAGGTGGAGAGGAAACAAACAGGTCGAAGAGGCGGGGATGGAGCCAGTAAAGGTGAGTGTAGATAGGGAGTTAGGAAGGGGATAGGTCAGTCCAGGGAGGACGGACAGGTCAAGGGGGCAGGATGAGGTTGGTCGGTAGGAGATGGAGGTGCGGCTTGAGGTGGGAGGAGGGGATAGGTGGGAGGAAGAACAGGTTAGGGAGGCAGGGACGAGCTGGACTGGTTTTGGGATGCGGTAGGGGGAGGGGAGATTTTGAAACTTGTGAAATCCACATTGATACCATTGGGCTGCAGGGCTCCCAAGCGGAATATGAGTTGCTGTTCCTGCAACCTTCGGGTGGCATCGTTGTGGCACTGCAGGCGGCCCAGGATGGACATGTCGTCTGAGGAATGGGAGGGGGAGTTGAAATGGTTCGCGACTGGGAGGTGCAGTTGTTTATTGCGAACCGAGCGTAGGTGTTCTGCAAAGCGGTCCCCGAGTCTCCGCTTGGTTTCCCCGATGTAGAGGAAGCCGACGCAGCTCCGCCCACAGCCGACGCAGCTCCGCCCACAGCCTCCACAGCCAGCAGCTCCAGAGGAGACAGCAGCACCCAGCCCTGCCGAGTCTTCACCATCCCCCCAGACCTACCCCTTACTGAGGACGAACGGTCAGTCCTCAGTAAAGGGCTCACCTTTGTCCCCCTCCACCCACACATCAACGACTACCGCTCACGCTTGGACATAGAGCAGTTTTTCCGCCGCCTCCGCCTCCACGCTTACTTCTTTAACCGTGAACCTAACCCTCCCTCTACTGACCCCTTCTCCCGCTTCCAACACACCCCCTCCTCCTGGACACCACCCCAAGGCCTCCTACCCTCCCTCGACCTCTTCATCTCCAACTGCCGTCGAGACATCAATCGCTTCAACCTCTCCACCCCTCTCACCCACTCCAACCTCTCCCCTGCAGAACGTGCAGCCCTCCGCTCCAATCACAACCTCACCATAAAACCCACGGACAAGGGAGGCGCAGTTGTAGTATGGCGCACTGACCTCTACATCGCCGAGGCCAGGTGCCAACTCTCCGACACCTCCTCCTACCGCCCCCTTGATCATGACCCCACCCCTGAGCACCAAACCATCATCTCGCAAACCATCCACAACCTCATCACCTCAGGTGACCTCCCACCCACGGCCTCCAACCTCATCGTTCCCCAACCTCGCACTGCCCGCTTCTATCTCCTTCCCAAAATCCACAAACCTGAATGCCCTGGTCGACCCATTGTCTCCGCCTGCTCCTGCCCCACCGAACTGATCTCCAACTATCTCGACTCCATTTTCTCCCCCTTGGTCCAGGAACTCCCTACCTATGTCCGTGACACCACCCACGCCCTCCACCTCCTCCAGAACTTCCAATTCCCCGGTCCCCAACACCTCATCTTTACCATGGACGTCCAGTCCCTCTACACCTGCATTCCCCATGCAGATGGCCTTAAGGCCCTCCGCTTCTTCCTGTCCCGCAGGCCCGACCAGTCCCCCTCCACTGATACCCTCATCCGCTTAGCCGAACTCGTCCTCACACTCAACAACTTCTCTTTCAATTCCTCCCACTTCCTACAGACAAAGGGGGTAGCCATGGGTACCCGCATGGGCCCAAGCTACGCCTGCCTCTTTGTAGGTTACGTGGAACAATCCCTCTTCCGTACCTACACCGGCCCTAAACCCCACCTCTTCCTCCGTTACATTGATGACTGTATCGGCGCCGCCTCGTGCTCCCACGAGGAGCTCGAACAGTTCATACACTTCACTAACACCTTCCACCCCAACCTTAAGTTTACCTGGACCATCTCTAACACCTCTCTCCCCTTCCTGGACCTCTCTGTCTCCATATCGGGCAACCACCTAGAAACCGATATTCATTTCAAGCCCACCGACTCCCACAGCTACCTAGAATACTCCTCCTCCCACCCACCTTCCTGCAAAAATGCTATCCCCTATTCCCAATTCCTTCGCCTCCGCCGCATCTGCTCCCAGGATGAGGCATTCCACTCCCGTACATCTCAGTTGTCCTCGTTTTTCAAGGACCGTAACTTCCCCTCCTCGGTGGTCGAGAACGCCCTCAACCGTGTCTCCCACATCTCCCGCACCTCATCCCTCACACCCCGTCCACGCAATAAAAACCAAAAAAGAATCCCCCTCGTCCTCACGTACCACCCCACCAACCTCCGGATCCAACGCATCATCCTCCGACACTTCCGCCATCTGCAATCCGACCCCACCACCAAAGACATCTTTCCCTCCCCACCTTTATCTGCTTTCCGGAGGGACAACTCTCTCCGTGACTCCCTTGTCCGCTCCACACTCCCCTCCAGCTCCACCACACCCGGCACTTTTCCCTGCAACCGCAGGAAGTGCTACACCTGCCCCCATACCTCCTCCCTCACCCCCATCCCAGGCCCCAAGAAGACTTTCCACATCAAGCAGATGTTCACCTGCACATCTGCCAATGTGGTATACTGCATCCGCTGTACCCGGTGTGGCTTCCTCTACATCGGGGAAACCAAGCGGAGACTCGGGGACCGCTTTGCAGAACACCTACGCTCGGTTCGCAACAAACAACTGCACCTCCCAGTCGCGAACCATTTCAACTCCCCCTCCCATTCCTCAGACGACATGTCCATCCTGGGCCTCCTGCAGTGCCACAACGATGC